TCAAGCTGGGTGGGGTGCTGGTGGTTAAAAAAGAAATCCAGCCATGGATGTCAGCTAATTCTTTTTTTTTTTTTTTTTTTTTTTTTTTTGTTGGGACAAATGCTCCAGTCTATTCATGGAGAGCAGCACGTGCTGGGAACTGGGCCCAGCGTCCCATATAGAGTTACACAAGTCATTCGAGATACCGGGGCGATTACCCGGCTTCGGCTGAGAATCAATCTGAGAACTATTGAGAACTATTGAAGAAATTCAAGAGAAAAAAGAGGTTGAAAAACTATGAATGACTACTGACCTCTTTTTGAATGCTCAGAACCCCTAGACTCCGAAACAAAACTCTCTAAAACTATCCAACACTGTCTTATTCCCTGTCGAGCTCTCCAAGGCCTCACACTCCCACCCGGCTAGGTTACAGAGCAACATGACTCGTCCCAGCTCTGGCAAAAATCATCCCAACAGCAACCCTTGGTTGTCCCTTGGAATGCCCACCCCAAAGCATCCCCAGATCTCTCTGCCAGGCCTCACGCTCCTGCAGTCAGCAGGTTACAGGGCGACACCCCAGCACCGGCCAGCGTCGTTCTGGCATCGAACAACTGCAGATCCATGAATGTATCAGTATCAAACAGCCCAAAATCGAGTTGCTAGAAGTCCCCAGAATCCTAAAGCATTCTCAGAACCACCTGTAAACAAACCTTTTTTTGAAGGTATCCTTGAGATACCGGGGCTTTTTTTAAAGGCTTCGGCTTTTTTTATTATTTTTTCAAGAACACTGAAATTTTGTGTCCCCAAAAGCTCGGATCAAAGAAGCATTTGAAACAAAGCCACCTGTCTAAGGGCCTTTCAGCAGCCCAACCCTTACCTGCCTCACCCCTGTACCCCGATGCCCAATCTCTACCAGGCCTCATGCCCCCAACTGCTAGGTTACAGACTGGCACGACCCACCGCATAATAACCCCCACCTTCTAGGCCACAGGGCAAAGCAACCCGCCCCGGCTCCGGCCAATGTCGACTAGGCACCAGCTCACCAAAAGACCCTAGAGTGCCTTCCACCCTTGACAATTCCCCAGATCTCTCTACCAGGTCTCGTGCCCTCGTACAACTCGAGTTACAGGGCAACACGAACATGCCCATCTATATCGTTAGTTTTTTTTTTTTTCCTTTTTTTTTTTTTTTTTTCCCAGAAGGCGCTTGTGCAAAGCCACTATCCCAGTGGTGATAAGAGGGCCACCGGAATTGAGACTTTGCCTAGTGGCCAGCTCCATCTATTGGTGGGGAGCCTCACCTGCTGGAAACCGGGTCTAGCGTCCCACAAATGCATCTTTGAGTACATCAGTTCATGTGTGTCGTGATTGGAAGCATAGGGACCTCGATGACTGCCCTGTTTGGAAAAACTTAGACTCAAGGGATTGACTGCGCAGGGGCTGTACCCGAGAACGCACAGACACACAGCAACAGACAAAGACACAAAATGCCATCTTGGGTCTGGGAGGCACCGGGCCTCATGACTGTCTCCCTGCCTTCCGATCGTCAGTTGTTGCCGATGGCTGCACTGTCCAAGCTCATATTTGGAAAACTTAGGATCGCCCGAACAAGAATTACGGAGGTGCGAATGAAAAAGGGACTCCGATGACACTTCGGCCGTCCCACGGGCATTCTTCCAAGGATAGTGGATGGGGGGAAAGGGGTCATTGAAATCATGGGCCGGTCGTAACGGTTCCCTCGGATCCACCTTTGTCCACTCATGGAAATGCAGTGAGTAGTCCCTTTCCAAATCCGAGTGTGCTGACTGATGATCGTGTCATGAAGCCTGTTGCTGGTCTAACTTGTCTCTTGCCCAACTTACTTTTGCTACCCAGCCTTCCTCTAATTGCGTTTCATTAGAATATGAGAGAAGATAAGTGGGTAAGGTGGGGAAAACCGAAACTCTATAAGGGCATTAGAAGTGGGAAGTGATGCTCTGTTAGGAGTGGAAGT